GTGGGTGTGAGCAATTCTTTAACACCTCTGGATCCTGCAGACCTTCCCACCTAATCAGTGGCTTCAGGTCTACAAACCCAATGGAACACAATAGTCTTTGGTCCTGTTAATCAAAGTTGTATTCTAAGCATCTTGAACAAAGCCAAGGTCACAGTAGATACTCAGGAAAAATATGATGAAAAATATATGAAGAAAAAAGAAACTTGGTTCTTTTTCTTTACAAAAAGTGTTATTGCTAACTGTTGTTGAACAATATACATTTTCTTATGAGCTACGTAACTGGCTTAGATTCTGTGTGTCTTTTGTTTCAGTTTTGTGGGGCTGGAGGTCCAATCCAGTGCCTAAGACACGCTAAGCAAATACTCTATCAAAAAATCACAGGCCGAGTTCCCTGTGGATGAATTTACAGCCTGCACAGGATTTTCAGTGGAAAACATCCAACCTTCCAACCCAATGAGGGTTTGATTCAAAGATCAGTGCGTGAGCCCTGGGTTTGCCTAGGTGTCGCAGCTGATGAAGGGAAATGGGAAGAGGCTCTGGAATTCAGGGTAAGTCCTGCAGCACTGCTCTGCAGACCAGGGACAGTGCACAAGGAATCTGAGGGGGATCCAGCTCTCGCAGTTCCCAAATCTAGTGGGGAAGTAAAACCTGCAAAGTTAACATTATCAGACCTGGAATTCAGGGTAAGTCCTGCAGCACTGCTCTGCAGATCAGGGACAGGGCACAAGGAATCTGAGGGGGATCCAGCTCTCTCAGTTCCCAAATCTAGTGGGGAAGTAAAACCTGCAAAGTTAACATTATCAGACTCTATTTCTACAGTGGAAAATATGCAAGTCATAGAGACACGAAAGCCAGTGTTTTCATAGAAACTGGTACAGACAGGAATAGGCAAAGAAGTCAAGGTACCCAGGAGGATTCCAATACTGAAATATGTCTTAACCATGAATCCTAGGCTCATGGCTCAACCTCTGATCTGGAGAACTTCCAGCAGAATCTTAGCCCAACACCTGCTGTAAAACAGGGTAACAGGACTGAACCCTTCCCCAGGGTGTCAGTGCAGGATCTCTCAGCTCCTGTTATGAGTCTTCTACACATCATTACATGGCTTTGAGCCCATATTCTAACTCTTCAGCGTAAGTCATCTTCATAACATTCAAGGTTTGGAAAAAGTCTATCTGAAAGAATAAATTTGTCCTTATATAACCAAACATGCTGTGTTACTACAAGGTTTCTAGACACAAACCA